GGGGAGGTGGGGTGAGAATGGATGGTAGGGGAAAAACAAAGGAGGAGGCAACAATGCTTGATAGGAAATGTACTCATTACCTTATGCATGTAACTGTAACCCCTCTGTACAGTATCTTTACAATAGAAAATAAAAATATAGAGCATATTTAAAACCAGCAAATTATTCCATTACAATATGTGATGCATACATATGTAAAAAATTACCTATCAATTTTATTGGAATTACAGATCAATTTTATTTTTTTCTTCATACTAGGTTTCCATTGCTATGAGGGAAACAATTTACAAGGAGGAAAGGTTTGGCTCATGGTTTCAGTCCACAGATGCTTGGCTACTTGCTCCTGGGCCTGTGGTAAGGCAGAAGAACATGACAGGGAGTATGTGGTAGAGGGTGTCTGTCCACTTCGTGGCATCTGGAAAAGAAAAAAGGGGGGCAGCACCCCAATATCTTCTTCAAGGACATACCTCTGTGACCTGACTTCCTCCAATGAGGCCTTAACCTCTTAACATTTTCAGCACTTCCCAATAGTTCCATCAACTGGGGACCAACCCATGACCCTTTAACAACGACCCTGTGGGGGACATTTAAGATCCAAACTGGTACTCTTTAGTTTTCAATGAGTAAACAAGAAAGGTATAAGGAAAAAAAACATACTCTTTAAAGTTTAGTTGAAAAAACTGATGGGGGCTATTAAAGGTGATTTTATGAAGTCAAATAGCTTCTACTTGGAAAAAAAATCAGGTATTATGAAAAGATAAATCCTGAAACAGTAATAAAAGGGTCAATTCAGTGCCAGAGTTAGCATTCTGATTAAATTAATGGTAAGATCTACCATTTAAAAAAATTTTAGTTGTTTATTTATTTTTGTCCATCGTGGGGCTTGAACTCTGGGCTTAGGCGCTATCCCTGTGCTCTTCAGCTCAAGGTAAGCACTCTACCGCTTGAGCCACAGCACCACTTCTGGTTTTCTGGTTTATTGGAGATAAGAGTCTCACTGACTTTCCTGCCAGGGTTGGCTTTGAACTGAGATCCTCATACCTCAGCCTCCTTGAGTAGCTAGGATTACAGGTGTGAGCCACCAGCGCCTGGCTAAGATCTAACATTTTTGAAACACTTCTAGTAGGAGAATAAACTATACACAGTTCCTTTGTTGAATGAATTTCAAGTGGTACTGACAATTTGTTATTTCTCTGAAAACTTAAATATCCAACTCCTTGAACTTGGGGCAAGCTACAGAAGAAAAAAAAAACGCAAGAACATTTTCCAGATTCTGTTAGAGAAAATGGCTTATATTCCAAATGGGCTGGCATTGAGAATTTCATTTAGCCTTTTCTCAAAGACTTGTAGTTTGGTTTAAACTGCATGAAGACACTTTTGTGTATGTACTACTGATGGAAAATTGCTTTGTATCCTTTTGCAGGACTTCCAAATAAGTCTGTGTAGGGATTTTTCCTTGGAGAAGTTGAATACTAGGACTTCTATCACCTTGGATGTTCTTTAGGAAACCTAGATCAGGGGATCTATAGAAACTGGATTTATGTCAAGTTGAAACCTTTGATTCCTTCTGTGAAAATTTTAGAGCCACTGAAAAGAACAAAAGAATCCCAGCACACAAACCATAACATCCTGTGGTTTACAGCACATTTTGGGGGGGGGGGGGGGCTGGTCGTGAGGCCTGTACTCTGTATTCCCAGCCCCCAGATACCCTGATGTAAGTACAAGATTGGAATGGTCAAGGGCTGGGAAGGTGGCTCAGTGGTAGAGTGCTTGCCTTATATGCCTGAGGCCCTGGGTTCGATTCCTCAGCACCACATAAGCAAAAAGAAAAAAGCCGGAAGTGGCACTGTGGTAGAGTGCTAGCCTTGAGCTGAAGAGCTGAGGGACAGTACCCAGGCCCAGAGTTCAGGCCCCACGACTGGACCCAAACAAAACAAAACATCAGGGTATCTGTATGTGGCTCATTTTGCCTAGATAAGCCATTCTGGCTTTTCACCTTGTTATTTCTGTTCCTTATTCTGTTCAGCTGTCACCAATTCCACAGAAGGGTTTCACTTCTAAGTGTCAAGTTTAAACTAATCCTTTCAGCTACTGTTATCCTCATTTCATTTCCTCCTGTGACTTTCTACCTTCTAGAATCTCTTTTAGTTTACTGGTTTATGTGTCTATCTTCTTACATTAGAACACAAGGTATAAAAGGAAGGAGAAAAAGGCAAAGTGCAAAAGGGAGTAACTAATGAATAAAAGTTCTGGTGAAGCAGAAAGGGAGTGGGATAGAGAAGAACGAGAGACCATTTCTTCTTCTTCTTTTTTTTTTTTGGGTCCGGTCGTGGGGCCTGAACTCTGGGCCTGGGCGCTGTCCCTCAGCTCTTCAACTCAAGGCTAGTGCTCTACCACTTGAGCCACAGTGCCACTTCCGGCTTTTTTCTTTTTGCCTATGCGGTGCTGAGGAATCAAACCCAGAGCCTCAAGCATGCAAGCACTCTTATCACTGAGCCACCTTCCCAGCCCCCATTTCTTCTTCAGAAACATGAGCAAGGAAGGTAGACAAGAGTGGAAATATTAGGGAATCTTAGGTGACATGAAAAATGCAATCTAGCAAGTTGTTTTTTCATCAGCCTTTAATTATATGGTTAACTTGCTTGTAGGATTAGCAGCAAACTCCCAAGTTTTACTTTCAGGGTATAGGAAATCCTTTTCCTCCTCCCCCTCCTCTTCTTCCTCCCCTTCCTCCCCCTCATTCTCTTCCTCTTCCCCCTCTTCCTCCTCCTCCTCCTCCTCCTCCATTTTTGGGTTGGTTGTGGGGCTTGAACTCAGGTCCTGGGCACTGTCTTTGAGTTCTTTCACTCAGGGCTTGCGCTCTACTACTTTGAGCCACAGTGCCACTTTTGGTTTTTGAGTGGTTTATTGGAGATAAGAGTTTCATAGGGACTTTTCTGCCTGTGCTGACTTTGAACCCTGATCTCAGATCTCAGCCCTCTGAGTAGCAAGGGTTACAAGCATTAGCCACTAGTACCCAGCTTCCAATTTCTTTTTATTCTCTTTGGCTGGGGTGGGTTTAACAAAGAGAATCACTGATCTATATCACGTATATAAAAAGTGCTTTGGGAACTGTGAAGGTCTTCCTAGATGAAACTGCTGTTATTTTACTTATTACATGGCAATACAAACAGGAGGTACATATCTGATGCACTTCTAGGTGGAAGTCCAGGCTGGCCCCAAAGGTCTTTCTTCCTGAAAAACTAAGTTCAGATTTAACACAGCTTTTTAAAATCATGGGCTTTGAAATGAATAAGCATTAAACTCACCCTGCTGTGAAACTGATTACAATAATGTTGAAAGGTGGAAATAGGATTTGCTCCAGACAAAATAGGAAGTTAGTAATAAAATCACAGCTCCTGCTTAAGCCAGGCTTTCTGATTGTGCATTCACTGCATCCTTTATACACTCTCACAAAACACACGATTGGCTTTTTTGTTTTGCTTTTCAAACACCTCTGTCCCTTTTCCCCACCTTACTGTTTGTAATCAAGATGTGCACAATAGTTCATGGAAGAGAGATGAAGAAAACATTAAATGCTAATTTGGGATTGTGCTAGTAGGCCTGGTTGAAGTCGGCAGTGGTGGGAGACTACAAAGTGCAGATGAAGAACCCACCTTGGCTGCCTAATTGAAAAGGGGAGGAATCATGCTGAATGAAAGTAAACATTTTGCAGCTGCCCTGAGAGTAGAAATGATTTTTGCAGTGAGTAAGGAATTATGCAGTACATAGGAAACTTTCATAACATTTTGAATCTTTTTTTTGGTGCCAGTCCTGGGGCTTGAATTCAGGGCCTGAGCACTGCCCCTGAGCTATTCTTGCCAAAGGCTGTTCCTTAGCTTTTTGGCTCAAGGCTGGCATCAAAGCTCTACTTTGATATTTTTGGTGGCTAATGGGGGATAAGAGTCTCATGGAACTGGGAAGGTGGCTCAGTGCAGAGTGCTTGCCTCGCATGCATGAGGCCCTGGGTTCGATTCCTCAGCACCACGTAAGCAGAAAAAGCCGGAAATGGCACTGTGGCTCAAGTGGTAGAGCGCTAGCCTTGAGCTGAAGAATTGAAGGACAGTGCCCAGGCCCAGAGTTCAGGCTCCATGACCACCACCAACAAAAAGGTAGAGATACATCCATCTGTGTATGCAAATAAAAATATATTTTAAAAAAAGAGTCTCATGGAGTGGCTTGGAGCTGGCTTTGAACTGTAATTCTCAGATCTCAACCTCCTCGGCCTCTGTGGGTGAACAATCAACCCCAGCTGCGATGCTGCCTATTATATTACTGTAGGATGTGCCCCAGATGCGTATCATCTTGGGCTTGCATCCTGTTTCTGCCATTATTATGACTTGAATGAAGGGAGACCATCTCAGGAGAAAGTGGAGATAGACTTGGAAGACCAGCAGTTCCAAGAAACGACAGTAATTCCTGCTGAAAACGTTAGGTTCTTTTCCTGACTTTTCAAATGAGTTTTTACATCAGGTAGCTTACTTGAAGCCCTGCCCCTACCCTCAAGTAGGTAGTGAACACTTCCTTGGTCTGCAATGAAAACATAAGTTTTTAGAATCTAAACCCAGCGGGGAAACGGAAAGAAGGCAAGTTAGTCCTACATGCAGAATCTATTTTGTGGCAGGAGGAGGAGACGTGCAAACAAAAACCACCTTGGTGGGGATGGGAGGGAAGAAACTGGGAGAGTGTGAAGGAAGGGGTGACTCTGTCAAAAAAGAAATGTACTCTATACCTGACAGGTAACTGTAGCCCCTACGAACATCACCTTTGTAACAACAATAAAAAGTTAAAAAACAAAAACAAAGCAAACCCTGCCTCGTAAATCACTTGTCTTTATCGCAACACAACCTGGTCCCGCCCCATTTCCCCTTCCTCACCAACCACTGGCGGGCTCCCGCGCACGCGCCGGGTGCAGACCCGGGAGAGGCGGGGCTTGCTGCCATCTTGCTCCGCGCGCGGGACTCCGGGGAGTCGCGGCGGTCGCTCGTCAAAAAGGTCCCTCACAAACGACGGCGTGTGCCGTCCCCGCTGCATCTCGTTCCCTCGCCAGTTCTGTCCTCGCTGCCTGGCTAGCGAGGTCTCGGCCGATGAAGTAAGCCGTCCCCCGCGGCCCGTCTCGGCGCCCACCGCCGGAGCCCGAGCGCGGGACCCCCGGCCCCCGCGATGCCCGGCGTGCCGCTGCCGCCCAAGGAGAGCAACCTCTTCAAACGGGTCCTGGTGAGTGCCGCGGGCCCCCGCGTGTGCCTCCGCCCCGCCCCGCCCCGCGTGTGCCTGGCAGCCCGAGGCCCGGGTGGCGGCTCCGCCGAGCTCCTCTCAACACCCGCGGCCGCGCGCTTTCCAGAAACTTCCAGAAGTGCCCTGGTGAAGCCGTGGCCGCCGGACAGGCTCTCGTGAGCCCTGCGGGGCGTCCCGGTGTTCCGGGGGTCGCCTCTGCTAGCCGGTCTCTGCCCTCGGACGTTGGCCGCGGCCCCCGCGCAGCCCCCAGGCCCGGGCCCAGCCGGAGCGAGGCGTACCCGCCGCCGGGTGTGAGTTCGTCCTGGGAAGCCCGCGTGGCGCCCCTTCCTTCGGGAGGGGGCTTTGCAGCGTGGGGCGCTCCCCGTTTGGGAAGCGATGGGAACTGCGGTTTCGGGCTTCACTCAGTCGGCTTTTTAACGGGGCTGCGCTTGAGAACGTTTAACTTTGTTTCCTGGCACAACCAAGTAATGCCGGGGTAACGCTGACCACAAGGAAACCGACAAGGAGATTAATCTGGGTTGTGCACCAGCGTCCCTGGGTTTGCATCTCTTCAAGGGGGAGAGGCGACGTGTCATTGCTTCAGTGTATACGGGCACCAAAGATTTTAAACTTACTAGAAAAGGCAGTGCTTGTGTGCGTGCGTTCGTGCATGCATGTGTGCATGCATGTATGCATGCTTGCTTGCGTGCTTGCCTGAGTGTGTGTGTGTGTGTCCGTGTGTGTGTGTCCTGGGGCTTGAACTCATGGTCTCCACTTGTGGCTAATTAGAGAAAAGAGGCCAGGCTGGCCTTGAACCCCAATCCTCAGATCTCCGGTTCTTGAGTAGCTAGGATTATAGGCATGAGCTACCTGTGTCCAGCTAGGGTGTTTTGTTTTGTTTTTGCTTAGAGTCTGAAACATGCACGGGAGATCATCTGTAAATAATTAGATAAAAACATTTCTGTTTGCTAGTTCATCCTGTGCATCTGCAGCATAAAACAGTTGCATGAGGGGCTGGGAGGGTGACTCAGTGGTAGAGCACTTGCGTGCTCGAGGCCCTGGGTTCCAAGTGGCACTGTGGCTCAAGTGGTAAAGCGCTAGCCTTGAGCTGAAGAGCTGAGGGACAGCGCCCAGGCCCAGAGTTCAGGCCCCACGACCGGACCCCCCCCCCCCAAAAAAAAAAAAAAAGAAAAAAAAAAACAGTTGCATGATTTATTCTCAGATTACACAAAAGTTTAAAGATACTACCTTGCTTCTCTATTTTTTATTTTATTTATTTATTTATTTGTTTATTTAAAAAAAATTTTTTTGGTCCGGTCGTGAGGCCTGAACTCTGGGCCTGGGCACTGTCCTCAGCTCTTCAGCTCAAGGCTAGTGCTCTACCACTTGAGCCACAGCGCCACTTCCAGCTTTTTTCTTTTTGCTTATGTGGTGCTGAGGAATAGAGCCCAGGGCCTCAGGCATGCAAGGTAAGCACTCTACCACTGAGCCACCTTCCCAGCCCTGCTGTCTCTATATTACCAGGTCAGTTTGCACTACTAAAAAGAAAGATAAGGTAAAGATTAAAAGTAGACAAAGTAGAGACTATAGGAGTGAAGCCTTTTATTGGGCCCATGGGGTGAAGAGGAAGAAATCTCAACATTGATTTGGAAGTGAACCAAATAGCTTAGAGGATGGTGTGTGGCTAGTGTGTGCCAATTACAGCACATCCTGCATACAAATAAAGGACTGTTGATACCAATCACAGCGAAGACTTTCATGCAGATGAAGGGTAAGTTTGCATCATAGGCCTTCTATTGGGCCACTGGAGGAAGTGCTCCTCCCTCTAGCTTAAATGATAGTAGCTGCAGGAGAAGCAAGATTGTTTTAAAAGTTCACCAAGGCTTTTTTTTCTTTCTTTAAGACTGTTCTTGCTTAGATGATCTCCAAGACCAGTGAAGTCTCGCTGGGGTGGTCATGACTGAAGCATGACTTGTCTGTAGTTGCAGTCCTCTGCAACTGCTAGAATATCAGTAGTGTGTAAAGTGTCCAGCTGGTTCCTAGTAAAGGAGGGCTGCTTCTCTAACAGATCCCTTGTCAAAGCTGTCAGGCTTATGGCTTTAGTGCCTGTTAATGGCCTACCTTCCACAGTTTTAATCATTCACAAAAAGTACTAAAAGGGTATTTTACAATAAAAATCCAATGAAAGCTCAACACATAACAATTGTAATGACATTTAATAATAGTACCTATAGTATTTAGCAAGATTTATCAGTATTTAATTTCTGCCCCAGTTCACTAGGGGAAGATAGGGCCCTCTGATCTGTCTCAAATGCATAAAGAAAATATGGTGTATATTCTTAGTGGAATAATAATCTACCATAAAAAAAGGAATGAAGCTGGGAACTAGTGGCTATCCCTTTAAATCTAACTACTAAGTAGGCTGAGATTTGAGGATCCTAGTTCAAAACTTGGCAGAGCAGAACAATCTGTGAGTCTCCAATTAACCAGCAAAAAAACAGAAATGGAGGTATGTCTCAAATGGTAGTGCACCAGCCTTGTGAAAAAAGCCAAATGAGAAGAGTCCCCGATCTCAAGCTCCAATATTGGCATAAAAATAAGAAGCAGGGCTAGGAAGGTGGCTCAGTGGTACAATGCTTGCCTTGCATGCATGAGGCGCTGGGTTCGATTCCTCAGCACCACATAAGCAGAAAAAGCTGTAAGTGGCACTGTGGCTCAAGTGGTAGAGCACTAACCTTGAGCTGAGGAACAGTGCCCAGGCCCAGAGTTCAGGCCCCATGACTGACAAAAAATAAATAAATAAACAAAAAGCATACTTAAACAAAAAGTTGATAATAACATTGAGTAGAATGGCAATTACCAAAGAAAGGTGAGTGAGAGTGGCAGGGGCAGGGAATAGGGGAAAACTCTTCAGTGAATACTTAGTTACCAATAGATAAAAATAATATAAACGTACATTTCAAAAAGCTAGAAGGGATTTGGAATTTTTTACATAAGGAAATAGTGTTGGAAAAGCTAAATATATTTAATTTAAACATTCTGTTATACACAAACACACACACAAACACACACACAAACATGTATCAAAATACTACATTGTGTTTTCTTTTTTGTTTTTTGTTTGTTTTTTGCTGATCCTGGAGTATGAACTCAGGGTGTGGGTGCTATTCCTGAGCTTTTTTTTTGCTCATTTGCTCAGGAGCAAAAAAGTGGAGCCATAGCCTCTTCTGTTTTTTTTTTGGTGTTGTTGGTTAATTGGAGATAAGAATCTCAAGGACTTTTCTGCCAGGCACCAGTGGCACCTGTTAATCCTAGCTATTCAGGAGGCTAAGATCTGAGGATTGTAGTTCAAATCCAGCTCTACTACTCTGACTTGAATGCAAGTCCTCAAACTTGACTTTTTTTGTACACAGCTTATACTCTTCACTGAAGCCACACCTCCAGTCTGGTCTTTTTCTGGCTAATTGGAGATAATCTTGAGGATTTTTCTGCCTTGGTTGGCTTCAAATATTGATCCTCAGATTTTAACTTCCTGAGTAGCTAGGATTATAGGCATGAACCACTGACCCTTGACTTTGTTTTTATTTATCACTGTAAAGAGAAATTTAAAAAGAGATGACAGATTTTGTACAGACATGTTAGTAGCTATTCAATAAATATCAGTACATCTGTGCAGTGCACTTGGTTTCATTATTTCAGCAGCAAAAGGCTTTTTAAAAGAGTTTCTAATGTTTTCTGCTACTATGTATGCTTTTACTTTGGGTCATTTCTTTGTCAGTATTGGTTTACAATGAAATTTTTTGTTTATTAAATATTTTTCTTCGTCTTAAATTACAGTGAAAATGTTCAGATTCTAGAATAGTTTTGTTAGCAGTAAAACAAAGAACACTTCATGTTAAAGTGGTATAAATTGACAAAGCTCTTTTTTTTTTTTTTTTTAATTGCTAGTTTTGGGACTTGAACTGAGGGCCTGGGCACTGTCCCTGAGCTGCTTTTGCTCAAGACTTGTACTCTATTGCTTGAGCCACAGTGCCACTCTGTTTATGTGGTATTGAGGAATTGAACCCAGAGCTTCATGTATGCTAGCCAAGCACTCTACCAGTGAGCCACATTCCTAACCTGATAAAACTATTAAGTGCACTATCCACTCTTTTAGACCCATGTTTAGATTTTCTTTTTTTGTCGGTTGTGGGGCTTGAACTATGGGTCTGGGCACTGTCCATCAGTGTTTCAGCTCAAGGCCAGTGTTCTACCATTTGAGCCACAGCGCCACTTCTGGTTTTCTGGTGATTAATTAGAGGTAAGAGTCTCATAGACATTCCTGCCTGGTCTGGCTTTGAACCATGATCCTCAGATCTCAATCTCCTGAGTAGCTTGAATTACAGGTGCGAGCCACTAGCACTGTGCTCCAACTTTAGATTTTGAATGTAGAATTTTTGATTGAATAAAAAGTTGCTTTTATTAAAGAACTATTTTTTATATTTCTTTACAGAAATGTTATGAGCAGAAGCAGTACAAAAATGGCCTCAAGTTTTGCAAGATGATTCTTTTGAACTCAAAATTTGCTGAACATGGAGGTATTACAGCATCTGTTTCAGAGTTTACTTTGGGGAAATCTAATTCCAAGTCTAACAGGAATTTAATAGTGAGAAAATATGCCTTGGATTCCAAACCCTTGCAGCTCTCTATGGAGTGTATAAATAGTCAACATTTTGATTTATGCTTCATATGAGTCTTTCCCAGACTTCATTATGTCCTTACATGAGAAAGTCGACCATTTAGGGGAAAATTGGATGAGGTAATACATAGATGGAAAAGCCCTTACTGGAATGTTTGGAAACTGTTTTAGATTTCATAGTTTTTCCAGTTGAACATTGATAGTCTAAAGATCTCAAATCTGAAAACTTTCAAACACTCATTGAGCCTTTTTTTTTTTTTTTTGGCCAGTCAGGGCCTGGGCACTGTCCCTGAGCTTCTTTTGCTCAAGGCTAGCACTCTACTACTTGAGCCACAGGACCACTTCCAGTGGCTTTCTGTGTCTGTGGTGCTGAGGAATTGAACCCAGGGCTTCATGCCTGCTAGGCGAGCACTCTACCACTGAGCCACCTTCCCATCGCCATTGAGCCTTTTTTTTTTTTTTTTTTTTTTTTATTTTTAAAAAATATTTTTATTGTGAAAATACTGTACAGAGGGGTTACAGTTACATGAGCAAGGTAATGCGTACATTTCTTATCAAGCATTGTTGCCTCCTCCTTTGTTTCCCCTACCATCCCTTCCCTCCCACTTCCTCAACTACACTCCTCCCCCCCTGCCTAAATTGTAAAGTTCATTTTTGAACATAGTGTCTTATACATCTCATTGTTGCAATGGGTGAACCTGTATCCCTATTTAAACAATTTGTTTTTTCCCTTCCGCTCCCTAAATTATACCAACATCAAATACAGTGAAAACAAGGGTTATACCATGGGGAAGGGAAATACAAAGCAACAACAAAAAAATCACATGGTACCTCACAAATATATTAGAAACAATAGTAAGGAAGAAAAACCACTTGTGTCCCTATCTTGGGGTTCATTTCGCTTAACATCATCTTATCTGACCTTTTCTGTCCCAGACATATACTAGTTATTGTAAATAAGAGAAACCATGGGACCTCTGGTTCTTTGGGCCTGGCTTACTTCATTTAATATAATTTTTTCTAAGTCTTTCCATTTCCTAACAAATGGGGAAATGTCATTCTTTCTGATGGAGGCATAGAATTCCATTGTGTATATATATATATATATACCACATTTTCTCGATCATTCATCTACTAAGGGGCATCTGGGTTGGTTCCATATCTTAACTATGGTAAATAATGCTGCAATAAACATAGGTGTGCTGGTAGCTGTAGTATGGTCTTCTTTGTGATCATTTGGGTAAACAACCAAAACTGGGATTGCTGGGTCATAGAGGAGCTCAATGTGGAGTTTTTTTTTTTTTTTTTTTTTTTTTTTTTTTTTGGGTCCGGTCGTGGGGCCTGAACTGTGGGCCTGGGTGCTGTCCCTCAGGTCTTCAGCTCAAGGCTAGCACTCTACCACTTGAGCCACAGCGCCACTTCCGGCTTTTTTCTTATGTGGTGCTGAGGAATCGAACCCAGGGCCTCGAGCATGCAAGGCAAGTGCTCTACCACTGAGCCACCTTCCCAGCCCAATGTGGAGTTTTTTGAGGAACCTCCATACTGCTTTCCAAAGTGGTTGAACAAGTTTACACTCCCACCAACAATGCAGTAGTATCCCCCTTCCGCCACATCCCCTCCAGCATCTGTAGTTATTAGAGTTCTTGATTATAGCCATTCTAACTGGGGTGAGGTGGAATCTCAATGTTGTTTTGATTTGCATTTCTTTTATGGCTAGAGAGGTTGAGCATTTAAATCTTCATGTGTCTATTGGCCATCCTTCTTTCTTCTTCAGAGAAGTTTCTCTTTTTTTTTTTTTTTTTTTTATTTTATTTTATTTTTTTATTGTAAAGCTACTATACAGAGGGTTACAGTTACATGAGTGAGGTTATGAGTACACTTCCTCTTGAACATTGTTACCCCCTCCATTGTTTTCCCCCTACCATCCCCTCCCTCCCTCCCTTCCCCGAGGTTCTTTTTTTTTTTTTTTTTGATTGTGATTAAATGATTACATAATTTCAAAGTCACAAGTTCATTCTAACTTCCCTGGAGCAAATTGTCTACCACAGTCTGTAATATATAACAGTGTTCACATGTTATATACCATATTTGTGATCAGCAGCATGAGGATATTTAGTAGTGGTTCAACCAGATGAGCGGGAGTTCTTTGTTTCTTAAGTCCTGTTAGTTTTGTCGTATCACTAACCTTTTGGATTTAGCATCCACTTATGAGGGAGACCATGTACCGTTTGTCTCTTCGTTCTTGGCTTACCTCGCTCAACATGATTCCTTCTAGCTCCATCCATTTCCCTGCAAATGCCATTATTTTGTCATTTCTAATGGCTGCATAATATTCCATTGTGTATAGATACCACAATTTTTGGATCCATTCATCTGTGGTGGGGCATCTGGGTTGTTTCCATATCCTAGCTATTGCGAACAGTGCTGCAATAAACATGGAGGTGCACGTGTCCTTGTATATTGGTTCCTGTTGTTCAGGGTAGATGCCTAGAAGTGGTATGACTGGGTCGTAAGGGAGGTCAATCTTTAGCTTTCTAAGGACCCTCCAGACTGCTTTCCAAAGTGGTTGTATAAGTGTACATTCCCACCAGCAGTGTAATAGGGTTCCTCTTTCTCCACATCCCCTCCAGCATTTGTCGTTGGCTGATTTGTGGATGTGGGACATTCTGACTGGGGTAAGGTGGTATCTCAGGGTTGTCTTTATTTGCATTTCCTTCACCACCAGGGATGATGAACATTTCCTCATGTGTTTCTTTGCCATTTTTATTTCTTCATTTGAGAAGTCCCTCTTTAGTTCCCTTGCCCATTTAGTAATTGGTTTGTTAGGTTTGGGAGGGATTAGTTTCTTGAGTTCCCTGTATATACAGGATGTTAACCCCTTGTCTGATATATTGCTGGTAAATATTTTTTCCCAATTAGTTGGTTGTCTTTCTAGCTTAGTTGCGATAGATTTAGCTGTGCAGAAGCTTTTTATTTTAAGGTAGTCCCATTTGTCAAGTCTCTCTCCAACTTGTTGTGACCCTGGGACTCTGTTCAGGAAGTTCCTTCCTGTGCCTATTAGTTCAAGTGTCTCTCCTACTCTGTCCTGCAGTAGTTTCAGAGATTCAGGTTTAATGTTAAGGTCTTTAATCCATTTTGAGTTGATGTTGGTGCATGGTGATAGGCTGGGGTCCACTTTTAGTTTTCTGCATGTGGCTGCCCAGTTTTCCCAGCACCAGCGGTTGAAGAGGCTGTGTTTCTTCCATTGTATGTCTTTGGCTCCTTTGTCGAATATCAGCTGGCTGTAGGCCTGTGGATTTATATCTGGATCTTCTATTCTGTTCCATTGGTCTTCGGGTCTGTTTTTGTGCCAGTACCATGCTGTCTTTGTGATTATAGCTCTGTAGTAGAGTTTGAAGTTCGGCATGGATAGCCCTCCCATATTGTCTTTATCCCCTAGAATTGTTTTGGCTATTCTAGGTCTTTTGTTGTTCCATATAAATTTTTGGACTGTTTTCTGTATTTCAGTGATGTACGTCATTGGGATTTTAATAGGAATTGCATTGAATTTGTATATTAATTTTGGAAGTATCACCATCTTTACTATATTAAGTCGGCCTATCCAGGAGCATGGGAGGTCTTTCCATTTCCTAGTGTCTTCTGCAATTTCTTTCTTTAACTTTTTATAGTTCTCATTAAATAGTTCTTTTACATCTTTGGTTAGGTTAATTCCTAAATATTTTATTTTTTGGGAGGTTATTGTGAATGGGGTTGCTCCCTTTATTTCCCTCTCTTCCTGTGCGTTATCAGTGTATAGGAAGGCAACTGATTTTTGTGGGTTTATTTTGTATCCTGCTATTTTGCCGAAGTGACTTATGATTTCTAAAAGTTTGGGGATGGAGTTTTTGGGATCGTGGAGGTATAGTATCATGTCGTCTGCAAAAAGGGATAGTTTCACTTCTTCTTTCCCTATGCGGATCCCTTTAATGTCTTTTTCTTGCCTTATTGCCCTGGCTAAGGGTTCTAGGACTATGTTGAAGAGGAGTGGAGACAGTGGACATCCTTGCCTTGTTCCTGTTTTTAGGAGGATTGGTTGTAGCTTTTCCCCATTAAGTATAATATTGGCTATTGGTCTGTCATAAATGGCTTTTATTGTTTTTAGAAATGTTCCTTCTATTCCTATTTTCTCCAGAGCTTTTAGCATGAATGAATGTTGAATTTTATCAAAGGCCTTTTCTGCATCTGTGGCGATAATCATGTGATTCTTGACCTTGGCTCTGTTGATATGCTGGATTACATTTATTGACTTACGTATGTTAAACCATCCCTGTGTCTCTGGGATGAAGCCTACCTGATCATAGTGTATTATTTTTTTTATGTGTTTCTGGATTCTGTTAGCTAGAATCTTGTTAAGGATCTTTGCATCTGTGTTCATCAAGGAGATTGGCCTGTAATTCTCCTTTTTGGTTGGGTCTTTGCCTGGTTTGGGGATGAGTGTGATATTGGCTTCGTAGAATGAGTTTGGGATAGCTCCCTCCTTCTCTGTTTCTCTGAAGAGCTTGAGGAGTATGGGTATTAGTTCTTCTTTAAAGGTCTTATAGAATTCTGCTGTGAATCCATCTGGTCCTGGGCTTTTTTTTGTTGGAAGACTTTTGATAGCTTCCTGTATCTCATTATAGGATATTGGCTTATTTAATTGGTTAACTTCTTCTTTGCTCAGTTTGGGTAACTTGTATTTCTCTAAAAATGCATCCATTTCCGCCAGATTTTCTTCCTTTAGAGAGTATAGCTTTTGAAAGTAGTCTGTTAGAATTGTTTGGATATCTTGGGTACGTGTTGTGATGTTTCCCGTGGCATCCCTAATCCTATTAATATGGGTTTCCTCTCTTCTTTTTTTAATTAATCTTGCCAACGGGCCAT